TTTCAATTCCTTCCGACCATTAACAAAGGAAGAAGGAAGGTTTGGAGCAACAGAAAAGGGGTTTCCCGTAGGATACATAGAGCTTCTCCCGCCCAAGTTTCTAATCTACACGCTCTCCCTCATGGCCATCCTCCGGTGACTAACCAACGCACACTTCAGCGTCATCGGCCTCACCAATTTCCTCGGGCCCAACATCTCCTGGTCGGAGCCACCTTCTTCTTCCGAATTTGACTCCTTCTCCAACTCGTTCACGTCGTCCACGTGGCGGTGTTTGTCGTCTGTCGGAGGTGGATTCCCGGAGTTTCAGCGCTCGTGTCGGCGGAGATCTGCGAAGACTGCTTCAGTGAGGGTGCGGCCATGCGGGGAAAAGTCGAGCTTCTGTTAGGGTTTTATTTTTTAAATTATTTAATTTGGGACATAAAACAATTAATACCAAAACTAGCTTGAACCCTGCCCGTTGGGCAGGTAGCTCTATTATTATATTTTGACATTGATTTATTATTTTAGTTTATGGCTATTTATTATATCCAAACTTTTAGGTTTATAAGTATAATATAGAAGGGTAAATACAATTTAATATCCAAACCTTTCATTTTAAACAATATAATGGTTAAATTTTTTCGAAAATAATCTAATATCCAAATTGTCAACTTTCCGTTCGTTTGACCGTTAGTTGACACTTCAAAAAAGCTTTGTTTAGGGAAAATTGTCACAATACAACTTTGTTTTCTTGTTTTGGCATTGCAGATGACTGAATATTTAGATATTCTATACCATCATAGTGGAGTCATAGACTTCTCGGGTTTGGAACTATGATATGTTGGTGGTTTTTCAGAGAAGACATCGATGGATATTGATGAAGTGTCGTACTTCGAACTTTTTTGAAGTGTCAACTAACGGGCAAACATATAAAAAATTGACGATTTGGATATTAGATTGTTTTCGAAAAGGTTTGGCTAATATTAATATATATAAAGGTGAAGTTTGGTTACTGTTGCCAAACTATTTACATTTTCATACCTCAAATTTAATTAAATCACAACTTAGTCACTATAATGTACATTTACATTTAGATACCCCAAATTTACTTTTTATGTAAAATCATTGAGCAATTATGTTTGGCATCTAAATTTTATGAGATTTTTGTACCTACAATTTTTTAAATTTACATATCGGTCGAATGTTTAGATTTCACTTGAATCCATGAATAAAATCCACCAATCCATGAATCTAATTCATCATAACATAAAAATATAAATTTAGTTTGTACCATGCAAGATGTTGTATCACTCAACTGTAAGAGAAGATTCGACCATTTTAGTCTTCTATGGGATTTTTACTTCAAAAAAATATGTATGTTATCCATTTGAAATAATAATTACCATTTTTTAAAAGGACATTATATTCATTGATGTGACAGCATATTTAGTAAAATAAAATACGAGTACATTAAAATAATGATCTGTATGAAGTTTTTGTATGACATTCTATTAACTGTTGCCTAAATAATTGCATTTTGATACCCCAAATTTGATTAAATTACAACTTAGTCACTATAATGTATATTTTATATTTTGATACCTCAAATTTAATTTTAATGTAAAATCATTGAACAATTATGTTTTGGTATCTTAATTTTATGAATTTTCGTACCTACAAATTTTTAAATTTACATATTCGTCGAATATTTAGATTTCATTTGAATCCATGAATCCAATCCACCATAACATAAAAGTATAAATTTAGTTTGTACCATGCAAGATTTGTATCACTCAACCGTAGGAGAAGATTCGACCATTTTGGTCATCCATGAGATTTATACTTCAAAAAAAATGTATGTTATCCATTTGAATTAATAATTACCATTTTTTAAAAGAACATTCTATTCGATGACGTGACAACATATTTAGTAAATTATAATACGAGTACATTAAGATATTGATATGTATGAAGTTTTGTATGACATTTTAATAGAACAATGTTTAAAAAATCAGCAGTAATAAAAATAATGATTTAAAAGTTAATTTAAGTATAAAAATGACCAAACCTTTTCATCATTTACTTCCCCTTCATTTCATTTTCACCCACCTTCCATAACCCTTTCTTTATTTATTTCTTTTCTTTATTCGTCTAACCCTAATTAGTATACTATTTTTATGTATTCTAATCACAAGTATGAATGAGTCCATACATGACTCAGCAATGGTCTAGAGAATTTTTAATTGAACCATGCACCACTAACTTTTCCAGCTCAATGTCGAGTCCAATTAAAAATAAAAATATATGGTTATTACTTATTAGAAAGTCGTCATTTTCTACTATGAGATTTGAAGGCGTGAAATTTTAAGTGAGTTCCAGTTTGTATTCCTTTCGCTTCTCTTTAGAGTTTTTCTTTCTCACCCGAGCTAGAATTTTCAACAATTATACATGGAATGTTAGGCTAGGTATTTACACATTTAAAATAAATAGTTTTCAATTTTCGATAAAAAAGGAAATATTTATCATCTTAAATACATCGTCATAAAAGGAATTAAGCCTCAACTATGCAAATTACAATTCGATACCTAAACTTAATAGATCTTTAGATTTATAACATAAATTTATTTTTTTGGCATATAAGTCCTAAAAATATTGATGGAACATTACATTTTAGTATCAAATTTTTTTGTGTATTACATTTTGGTAGCTAGACTTTTGAAGTCCTACAAATAAGTCTAATTTTTGAATGTACTTAAAACACCCTCGAATAAATGAGTATCCATACGCAACTCATACACATTTAGATTATGAAAGTAAATATTCATACCCTGATCAAACCCATCTACATACTTCCAAACCCATATATACGTCACCATTCACTTTCCATAATCAATGGGTCGACTTGGGTTTAGGTAAATATTATTTATTAGCCAAAAATTAAAAAAAAAAATTGAATTGAGTGTTGACCTCCATATATCGCTTCTCAGACAATATCATATTGTCAAGTCAATATTACTAACAAAACTACTAATAAAAAATGAATTTTAGACTAATATTACTAATAGAGCACCATAACAGGCCACATAATACATGTTCATAAGCCATCTCCATCCCGCGACAAGACGCGACATCACCATCTAGTATTGTTTAAAATAAAAGGTTTGGATATTAAATTGTATTTACCCAATATAGAAATAGTACATAGTAGCGTAGCTAAAATTTATGACCCTGTACAATGGTATACGAATTTGGTTTGTCAGAAAAGAAAAAGATTATCGATGGTATTTCACCACACTTTACTTTAAATCATCACTTTGATCATAGCTCTAGCCTCAAAATCGTTCCATCTTTGCTAAAATCATCAAGCAATGTGACAAAGGTGAATAAATTAGGCATATATTACTTTCTACCATCTTATTCAACATTATTAAAGCTTGACCCTCCTAAGCAAAATGCAGAGGCAACAAATCAAGCAATCGTAGGTGAAAAGCATATGGTTATATTTTCTTATCCGTCAACTCAAGATATCTAAAGTTCTAGAATCAAATCATCCTTATAAAGGTCATCAATGATAGTGTCATATCTAGCAAAATTAGGGCGACAAAACCAATGTTGCATTTTTTCAAGCAACTCAAGACATGCATTAGTTTACCATCTTACACAACCCATTTAAGATGGAGTTGTAAGTGATGACATCGGGTTTATATCCTAAAGGCACTATCATACTTAACAACTTTAGAGTCACAATCAATGATATATGCATGGAATGCATAACCTAATTGAGGGTACCTTATGTAAAATGACAGTTCGGAGTTATAGGTAGATGGCAAAGAAGAAGATGCTTGAGTTGGAGTCGAACTTGAAGGGCTAGAGTAATTCGTCGTAACTGCACAATGATCTAAGACATTTGCGTGTCAGAAAATTAGCAACAATGGTAGACCAAAGCTATCATGAATCTGTTTATATGCTGCTCCTCTAGTTCGAATTGATTAGATACAAAGCCTATAACAAAATGAACATAATATCATTATAGCAAGGATGGTACAAAATTTGGCGTGCTTTGTGAATCAATGGCAGACGTATCTTTGCTGCTAGATATGGAGAAAATTTCCTCATAGTTCTTGTTACCTTCTCACTGAAGGTCCCTGCAACGATGCACAGACAGCCTTTTATGCAAAACAACAAATAATCCAATGACCACCAAATCAAAGCAAACGAAAGATTGCTATTAGAAAATCTTATGGAATTAACCAAAAGAGAGAGCAGGGAAGCGGGGTCATCAAGAGGTCGAGAGCAGCGATGAGATATGGTAGAAGAGCGCCCAAAAGACGGCGGAGATGAGATGAGAGCGGGCTGCGGGGTGGTTGCCTGCGGTGGCCGGAAGCAGATTCACACTGTTGCGGTGCAGTTGATTAGAATAACAGTGAATAGATTAGGCTAGGGAAGGCGGGAGGCGATTGCAGTTATGGATTTTGGAGGAGAGAAAGCGGCGGAACAGTTCAGGGGAAGAAACAACGGTTTTCTGTGCGGAACGGGTTTATTAGAGGCTGACGTGGATAGCCTCAAATTGCAGGGAGGAGTACGTGGTAGTGGCTTAAATCTAAAAGCCCTTTAATATATTTTAAGATTAGGAATGTTTAGAAGTAAATGAGGGGTAATTGAGTAATTTTATAGTTTTTTAACTGTCATTTAACAGATAATTGGAAGGAAGGGTAAACTCGTTACAATTTAATATTAGAAGAGTATAGTTGTGAAAAATTTAGTAGAGTGGTACGTTTGTTAATTTAGTATAATAGAGGGTATAAAATTTCACATTATCCTTGTATAGTGTGGAATCTTTGTTATCGTCGATATTTTTAGTGATATTTTCTTTTATTTCTTTTTTGTCAACTTCTATATAATTTTCACAGAGCATGGCAATAATGTGCACCACATGAGGTGTGCTGTATTTTGATTTTGACTATGGAACATATATAATTTAACAATATAATGTGAAACGATATATGACAAAGTTAAACTATTTATTAACCTTAATTTTGAGGGGCTTTCTTTTAGATAGGAAGTCTACCTATCGAAATGCCTTAACATAAGAGCTCATAATACTAGTTAAATTTTTAAATACATGGGTCTAAACTCTAAACAAGTTCAATGGTCAAGCTCCCAATTGTGACAGCACCAGAAAGTCTCAGCACAGCAGTGACTAATACATTAGAGCAGCATTTCATGCATCCCCTCCAAAAAGAAATCAATCTAATATCAACTATAGCGCTACTGTTATGATGTTAATGAGAATAACAGCAGCAAACTACAACTGCTGGAATTCCACAAAGTTGTCTAGGTAGTATAGCTCTTGTCATGCTGCTGCAGTCTTGATTTTACGAATTCCAAAACAGTAGATGCTAGCTCAGTTTGATGAGAACGGTATCCATGATCAGCACCTTCGATGATGTGTAGCTTGTGGTTCGGTATGACCTTTGCGAACTCTGATGCATCTCCAGCAGGGACAATCGTGTCGGCAGATCCATGGATGGTGAGCACACTGTCAATACAATACAGTAAAGAGAGCATCAGCACATCAGCAAACAAGTAGACAACACCTAAATCTAATCACGGATGCACTCAGAGATCATTATCAGCTTCAGATGAAACGATCATTGTGATTACAGATTAAGAAAATTTTCTAGTTATAGTTTGCACCCACCTGCAATCTTGGTCAATTTGCTGGCATGCTTTATGCATGTCTGTGTTGATTCTATCCATCAAAGACTCTTCAGTAACGCGGTACAAGACTTCCCCTATAGAACTCAAAAAGGTAAAGGCAGACAGAGTGAGATTCAGGTAACTTGGCATTCAGCTGGCTGCTGCAATTTGCTAACTCATTTCCCCCCCAGAATGGGGAACTCAAACGTGAAAGAGCGAAAAACAGTCACCTTTTTTATCCTTCACATCAATGAAACCTTCTTTCTTGATTCTTTCCAGAAAGTCATCTCCAAGGCGCTCCTTGATGCCATTCTTCGGGGTATAGCGGCCAGAGATATTGACAACGGTCTTTATATCATGAAATTTTGAAGCATAAAGGAGCACCACGTTCCCTCCTGCAGCAGAACAGCACAACACAGGGTGAATCAGAACAAGAAATTCTCTACTGAATTAGGGCCCGACAATGTACTGGGAAGAGACGCCCAATTACCTTTACTATGGCCGAGAATCACACTAACAACTCGGTTCTTTCCAGCAAAGTATTCGACCACAGAGTGGAGATCATCAGCTTCTCTCCAATAGTTACCATAACCAAATGTACCTTCACTGTCCCTGTAAATCAGACAAATGAGATAAAACGAATGGGCAAGCAGCAGCTCTATCTGGCAAGAAGTGGGGAGGCAAAGAGCCTTCCAACCTAGTATCAATTGACCTTGATCATCAATGTAGAGAAACAAAAGCAAAACGAGAGCTTTGAGTAGGAAGAGACTTTTGCAGGCTTACCCATTACCAGCAAAGTCGAATCGAAAGGCTGAGATTCCTTCCTCCGCCAATGCTCTAGCAAGTTTCTTCATGTTTGTGTTGTCCTGGAGATTAGAAGGAAACAAACACAAACACAAATCACTAAGAACGACTCACAGTACGTATGAATTTGCTAAAAAAAGGATCTCGATTACAGGTCAAACCTTTGTGGATTGAAAGCCATGGCACACAGCAACGATTTCCTTGGACCCAGAATCATGCAGGACTCCTACCAGCTTCTCGCCGTGCTTGTTTGAAATTGTGACCCTCTTCTCCTCGACAACTGGGTACATAAATAACACAGAAGAAAAGAATCAATCCCTAGCTCAAGCAGTCGACGCTTCTTCCGGCATTCGACAGGATGAGGCATGACACCATTGTTCGTCCGAACGCTGAGCACTGGACTTATAATCAGAGTGCACAAACAAACAAACGAATGAACACATGGGACACGCAACCCTTCTAATCGCCTATCCTATATAGATCGTCTCTGTCTGATCGATCGTGGGTTGGCTGATTTTTACCTGGGTTTTTGGTTGATTGAGACATACTGGAAACGAGAAGCGGGTTTCCGGCGCCCGCGGCGTGGTGATCCGACGGAGAAGTTTAGAACTGACGGCTGACGGGTGACAATGTGCTTATATATATCGAAATTAATAAAACAGAATTCTAATTGGACAAGGTAATCAAACGACGAAAAGGGATCTCCGATTTTTATAAAAGCTAATCTCATGACCGGTTAAACCGATAAACTGGAAACTAACCGGCCAGCACCCAGAAGCAGCAAAACGACGTCGCCCTCTGCCTCTCTCCTTCCCCAAATTATCGACACGAGCCTTTCCCTGCCTTCCTTTGTCTGCTCTGCCTCGCAATTCTCTCTCATGAGTCGATCGTGAACCCTCATCGGACGCCGCCGTCGCTTCGCTGCCGATTCGCGTCACCCTCCGGTTTCGGTGCTTTGCCAGTCATCAAATCTCATCCGCCTTCGCCTGCTGTCTGCTCGGTCGAGACGAAGGCTAAACCCTAAAATTTGCCGATTCGCGTCGTAATCCGCCCGGCCGTGGCCTGGCCTTCTTCCTGCATCATCTCCTCCGGCGTCTGATTCTCCCGACCGCATTCATCGGCTTCCCTCCCTCCCAACTCCAGAATGTAAGCTTTTCTTGCGCTAGAAATCGAGCCCACTTCCCTTTTCCGGTTTCCCACTGTCGAAAGCTCCGTTCCTTTTTTTGTTTGTTTGTTTGGTTATCGCTTCCAACCCTGCTTACAGCTATGATTAATTTTGTCATTGAACAGCGAGTGTAAGCGGTGTTGAAGCGTCAAGATGTACAACGGGATAGGATTGCAGACGGCAAGGGGGTCGGGAACTAATGGTTACATCCAGACCAATAGGTTCTTTGTGAGGCCAAGGACGGACAAGGTCGCTCATGCTTCCAGGGGATTCGATGAAGACCAGGGCACTGCAGGGATATCCAAAAAGCCCAACAAGGACATCCTTGAGCACGACCGCAAGCGACAGATTCAGCTCAAGCTCGTGGTGCTCGAGGACAAGTTGATTGAGCAAGGTTATACTGATGCTGAGATTGCTGAGAAGATGGAGGAAGCAAGGAAGACATTGGAAGCAGCATCGGCCTCCGAGGGAAGCGGTGGACCTACTTCTTTGATCTCAGGAGACGCTAAGTAAGCAACCAATTTCCATTGTTTTTTTTCCCCGTTGTGGTTCTGTTATAAGTTGGTTAAGCAGCAGAATCTATCTTTGTTCTAATGAGGTAGAAGTGGCCATAATAGGGGACTCATAGTTGCTCTGTATCTTGCATGTACTTGTTTGCGCTCCCACAGCTGTTCTCTGTTGCTTCCCGTGGTCATTCGTCAGTAGTCCTGTTTATGACAACTTGATTGTGAGTCCTTTTTTCATAGGAGTTTTGGTGCTTGTGAATTTTGTAAAATTGGCCCCATCCTACATGGGATTGATATCTGAAATTTTTATTTGTTTGGTTAGGATTTCCAACACACAGTCTCACCAAGTTGCTGCGAGGAAGGAGAGACAGATGGAAACATTGAGGGCTGCTCTAGGAATTCAGTCAACCGATCCCAACAAAGATGTTGCTGATTTGAGTGACGATGGACCATTTGCTGGTGGGAAGAATGATGGGAGTAAGTGGATTAAGAAACCGGAACATGCCTTCCTGGATAGAGATTTCAAATTGAAGAAAGATGCTGCAGAAGATCTGGACATTGACAAGAGGGCAGCTGGTGCTGCAAAAAGTAGGAAGAAAGTAGAGGAAGCTGATGAAGCGGGACAAGATAGAAGGGCACAAGCCAAGAGAAAGAAGCGTCGTCATGGTTCAGAATCTGATATTAGTAGCAATGCGGAGGAGGGTGAAGTGACTCGAGGGAAACATCGCAAAGTTAGACGCGGTAGTAGTGATGCCGACAGTGATTCAGATTATGGCAAGAAGAACCGAGCTTCAAAGAAGCATCGCAAGGGCAGAAGACATCGAAAAAACAGCGATGATTCTGATTCTGGCCCTGATACTGAATCTGATGATGGGAAGAAAAAAAATTCAGATTACGCTGACAGTGATTCAGATTATGGCAAGAAGAACCGAGTTTCAAAGAAGCATCGCAAGGGCAGAAGACATCGAAAAGACAGCTATGATTCTGAATCTGGCCATGATACTGACTCTGATGATGGGAAGAAAAAAAATTCAGACAAGCACACTACCGGCAAGCATGGCCGGAAGAGGGATGGCTCATCATATGATGATGACACTGATTCAGACAATGCCAAGAAGAAGAAAAAGCCAAAGAAGAATGGTATCCCGAGGAAGCCCAAGAAAATTAGAAGTGGCAGTGAAAGTGATGATTCTTCTGCTGATGACAGTGAGGGTGATGATGGGAAGAATAATCCAAAAGTTCAATCAGAGAAAAGAAGAAAATCTCAGAGGCGGCATGACATTGACTCTGATGATGATTCTGATTCTGAATCTGAGCCATCCAGACATAGACTTGGGGACACAAGACAACATGCCAAAACAAGAAGGCGACATGACTCTGATGATGACTCTGATGTTGATGTTTCGGCTAAGAGGAAAAACACCCTTAAAGCGCTCAAAGGTTCTAGTGATGGGAACCAAAGAAGGGAAAAGAAAATTTTAGGTGCAGGAGTCCATTTGAAGAACCAAGACTCTGACGTGGACAATGAATCAGGTCCGGAGAAACATATTGAACGCAGAAGGGAATCAGCTAAGAATGGTGATAGAGAACACAGAAGGGAATCAACTAAGAATGGTGCTGATTATGACTCTGCAAGTGATGGGTCTGATGACAAAAAAGTGAGGACGAAGAACAATGAGAAGCATTTTGATGGAATGAGAGAAGGGAAGCGAGATCTGGATCTTGGAAAGCAGACTGTTCGGAGAGAAACTGGCCGTGGTAAAAAAGATAATACTGTTGAAGAAGAATTGGATAGTAAATTGTACCGGGATAAGGATGACTTTGGTCATGATAGTTACTCTAGGTCGCTTAAGTCCAGGGATGGTATCTCTGAGAAGGTTGGGGATGCAGAGAGAACAGAGTATAAGGGTGACGAATCTCCATATGGAAGTCAAAGCCGCCAACGATATCGTGAAGGACATGGGAGGGAGAATAAGGGCTATAGGGAAGAGCGGGATAGGTATAAAAAAGACTCCAAGGAAGAACGGGGGAGGGACAGAAGCCACACCAGAGAGGAGCGGGAAAGTGACCAAGATATCGTTAGGAAAGAGCTTGGAAGGGACGATTGGAATGCTAGGGAAGAACGTGGAAGAGACAAGCAGGATCCTAGAGAAGAGCATCTAAGTGGCAGAAGGGACTTCGGAGAGGAACATAGAAGAGAAAAAAGGGATTTCATGAAAGAGCATGGGAGTGGCAAAAGGGGTGCGAGAGAAGATCGTCAAAGTGATAAAAGGGACATTAGGGAAGAACGTGGAAGAGACACTAGGGAAAATCGTGACAGCAGAGACATTAGGGAAGAACGTGGAAGGGACAAGAGGCATGCTGGGAAGGAAGAAGATGGTCATAGAACTAGAAGGAATGATAAAGTCGAGCAAGATGGTGAAAAACGAAAAAGCTTTACTGACAATGATGATGTTCAAAAGCATGGAACGCGGAGGCAGGAAAGGGAGGAAGAAGGCCAGCAACAAAGTAAAGATGATCGGGTGGTTTCCTCCAAGAGAGCCAGATATGACGATGACCCACATCATGAATACGACAGACGCAGAGACAATCGACGTGACTACCTCGACTGACTGTCTTCTGTAGCATGAAAATAGTTTAAATGGTATGATTATGAGAAGATTTTTCTTATATATTTTTTCCGTGAGATATTCGTCATAAGTAATTTAGTTTACTTTAGTAGGACCATTGAGCACGAATATCTGTTTAGGATTTAAAGCAGATGGATGGTGAAGTATAGGATACAATTTTGAAGGAACTATTGTATTGTTGAATAATATGAAATTATGTGATGCATAACCGATGTTAGCCAATAAAAGCCACTCCGTCATGCATAATTATTTGGCTGTGAGGGCTGGTCTGGAGTGGGGATGACCTAAGCTGATTATTATATTTTCTTGCATCACTATATTGATAGCTCCATCTTGTGGTTTTCCCCCTTCCTGGTTTCTGCTCTGTTATTGATGTGGAAAGTTGATCATTGTTTCATGTGATAGGGATTGGTTGCAGCAGCGTGAAGGTTACATTCCCGGTGAAGAGGCATAATAGGAGAATGGAAGATTACACGACATAGGTAATTCATGCATGTAAGAGGGCTTGAAGAACTCTTTGTTCTGGTGATCTTTTTGTTCAAGAGTGCGTTAGAAAATGAAATTGTCGCCTTTTTAGTCTGAACAAAGGGAGTGCAGTTGCTGATCATGCCGCTACATAAGTAAGCAGCAATGTTTTTAGCTGCGTTGCGCATCTGGAAGATTATTGTACTTGCTGGGAGTCGGTTGATTGAATCCTTGGGACTTTTGAAACTTTGTTTTTCCAGTGACTGGGTGTTTAGCATGACTTTATAGGGGTTTGTTTGTTGTGAATCTCAATCTATTTGTATGCGTTTCAGTAGACCTGAACGAATTGGATTATAGGAGAACCTCGAATGTTGCTGATTTCTGTTGTTCTTGTTCAGTTTGCAGCAAATGTTCAGTTTTGAGGTTTGGCTGTTACTTGTTTCATAGCATGCTTCTTGCTTTACTCGCTTGTTTCGTGGGACACATGTTAGGAAGACTGGAAGAGAGAAGAGGGGGCACATTGTTTCGGGAAAGAAGGCAGCAGCAAGCAGCTCTCATGTGAGGCAGCATTATGCAGCTCAACAACAGCTTCGGATACCAAAATGCAGGTCGAGGTTTTGTCAATGCATTCACCATTCTTGTTCACGTTGATGATTGATCACGATTAGGCCACGCTGAATTCCTATTCGCGTCTATTTCGTGCTAATAGGTGACTTGAAATTCCGTACCTTGTTTCCATCACAATCTTGCAGAATAGAGTCGGATTTTTGGAACCCAGGTTTTCCGTGGCCGCCATTGATACCAACCTCTTGGCGGAGGCAGATCCACCATTTCCCCACTCTTTTTATCTCTCGCTTTAGCGCAGCTCCTTTTCAGTCAATCTGTTGGTTCGGAGAAATTGGGGAGACCACAAATTTCAGCTCAATCCACCGGTGGCGTAAATTTCAGAAGCTCGCGCGGGAAAATTTCGCCCTACTGTGGACCCCACTTTTAACTGAACATACGTTGACCTGACTGTTACATTTAGGGGTGGCTATACGCAGGTTAAATTGGACCAAATTGATCCGGTCGCAGTTCGGTCTTTTCGGGAATATAAGGACCAAAGATTGGATTGGTTATAGTTCGGTCTTGATCTGGTTCGGTTTCAATTTGATCTTGATTTTAGATTGAGTTTGTGGGGATTTGAGCGTTAGGGTATCTTATTCGGCCTTTATCCTGTTTTTTTACCTCAAATCTAAGGCCGAATATGAGATTAGATTGTTTGCTATCCATTCTAAGTACGGTCCCGATCCGAGTTATACGGTCTGGTTTCGGGTAAAACCAAACAGTCCGGACCAAATAGCCAGCCCTAGTTCCATTTGTGATTCGACGGACGAAATAGTTCAAATTAAAACAGTCACGAAATAGTTCAAATTAAAACAGTGAAAAGGACTTACTTGGCGATGGTTACAAAGTTCCGGGATCAAATAAGGAATTCATTAAGTTAGCGGTAAAGCTGGGGAGTGGGGAACACTCTACCAAATTCCCGCGGGAGCATCTGAAATTTACGCCGGCGGTGGACCTGAAATTCCTTTTCCACGGTCGATCGGTGAGAAGGAGGGAGACGTGATTTATCTGTCTCCGACGAGAGGTTGGCGATGGTGGTGGCCGAGAATGGAGTTGAAAAGCCTTGTTGTCTCCTCCCGCTGCGGCCTTGAGATGTTAATTTCTCAACGAGCTAGGTCAGTCAATCTGTTCTCTCCCTTCGTCTTCTCGTTTCTGCGATTTTTTTTTTTTTGGGTGTGTGTGATAGTCCTCGTCTGGATGTTTTTAGTTCTCGCCATTGGAGGTTTAAACAGGAAAGCTTTCGGTATAGGAAGCTCGTTTTGTATGGCTTCGAACATTTAGCGAGATGAATCAATTAACCCTAAAGTAGTATTAAGCGAGGGGATGTAGTTTCTGCTTAGATTGTGAGGGAGAAATAGAACCTTTGAGGCTGGAAACCACCAAATTACCTACAATCCAAGCAGAAACTATTAATTCTCGTGATTTCTGCAACTTGGGCGGCTAGCGGCTCAATGGATAGCCACCAACCCTCCATTATCTTCAACAATGTTCAAGAAGACGCTAGGCGCTATCTAGGCGAAGAGGCACCGCCCAGCGCCCAGGCCGATTAGTCGTTGCCTAGGCGAGATTAAACGTTGAAAAAAATATGATAGATAAGCCATATTCTACAAAAACCCAAGTCACCATATCATTATTTATCCATTCATATACACATACAACCCTTTTCCACAATCCGAAACATCCCAAGTCGCCAACCATGAGGAGGGATCTCACTGTTGGTCGATGAGGGGGAGCGATTGGTCGAATGGAAATGGGAAATAGAATAGGGTTTGGGATTTTCACAAAAAGGCTACACTTTCCCTCTTTATTAGTTGTTTTGGGCGTCGCCCACCAGAGTGAAAACTCGCCTCCGAGTGCCTAGGTGCCTAGATCAATCGCCTAGGGCTAGACGAGGCGATTTCCTCCTGCCCAGCTATTAATCGCGCCTAGGCGAGAGATTAATCGCGTCTTCTTGAACACTGATCTTCAACAGTCAGCATATTAGTAACTTAATCAACCAAGATCTTGAATTCAACAGGCTAGTTAGTTATTGTATAACTAAGGGGGTTGCAGTTCCGCTTCATCACTGATGAACCAGATTACCAACCAACTTCTCTCTACTCTCTCTCTCTCTCTTTCCCCTTCACCAAATAGGAGAAAGCCAAGAAAGAAATGGCTGCTTCTAGTACTCTTTTTAGCATTGGCAAAACAGTTCTGGAGAAACTGGGTCCTCTTGTGCAGCAAGAGGCGGCTTTGATGTGGAACCTGCAAGGTGAACTCGAGAAGATGAATGGCACCCTGACCGCCATTCAGGCACTTCTACTTGATGCAGAGGAGCAGCAAGAACATAGCCGTCAGGTCAAAGACTGGCTCCAGAAGCTGGAGCTCTTGTTCCTAGATGCGGAGGATCTACTTGATGATGTTGCTACTGAAGCTCTGCGGGAGGAAGCAGCTGCGAGGGATCGAGATGACTCCAGCAGGTGCTGGACTGTGGTACGCTTCCTTTTCTCCATCCCGGGTCGGGTGATTTACGGTCTTAAAATGGCTCATAAAGTCAAGAGTCTTAGGGAGCAGTTGGATGATATACATGATGATAACACCAAATTGCATCTGAATCCTCGTTTCGAGGAGAGAGGCAAAATGGTGAAGCATGCCCTCACCATTTCTTCCATCCCTGACATAGTTGTTGGGAGAGAAGATGACCTGAATCATATTAAGCAACTTCTTCTATTGGCCGATAATGGCCCTAGGATCTCGGTGGTTTCTATATTTGGCATTGGAGGGATGGGGAAAACCACACTTGCTCAGCTCATTTACAATGATAGGCAAGTTAAGGAGCATTTTAAGTTGAGGATATGGGCTTGTGTGTCTGGGTTATTTGAGCTCAGAGTGATTACCACAAAGATTCTTGAATCAGCTACAAAGGAGAAGATACCAGATCTTGAGCCTGAAGCACTAACCAATCTCCTTGGGGGGTTCATTGGTGGCAAAAAATTCTTTCTTGTGCTTGATGATGTGTGGGACTTTAATCCCGAGGAGTGGGATATGCTCAGATCTGTGCTCAAGAGCGGTGCCAGTGGGAGCAAGATCTTAGTCACCACACGGTTCGAGAACTTTGCAAAGATTATGAGTCGTGGTTCTCCAGATCCACCGTATGCTTTGAGCGGCCTATCCTCGCCACAATCATGGTCATTGTTTAGGCAGGTCATGTCTGGTGGTGGTAACCACCAATTAGCTGTCGAGGAACCACTTAACATATCTAATGTGGAGGAGGTTAAAGAACAAATCATGAAAAAGTCTGTTGGGGTACCTTTAGCTGTGAAAACAGTAGCCAATTTGTTGTGTTTTAAAGATCCTCAAACTGAGTGGTTGTCTTTCCTTCAATCCAATGAACTTTTAAGTGCCAAGCATGAGAATAGCATGCTGCATAATCTAAAGCTGAGCTACAACTACCTTCCCTCGCATTTGAAACGCTGCTTCCTGCTTTGTAGTTTGTATCCCAAAGACTTTCCCATTTCTGTCCGCGAACTAATTTTTCATTGGTTCGCATTGGGGTTTATTGAGTCATCACCTGAAGATACCAAACAGAGTCTATATGATTTAGGTCTCCAGTATTTTATGGATTTGACATGGAGGTCCTTCTTTCAAGAAATAAAACGAGACGGGTCTAATAGTATAAATACATGTCGAATGCATGGTTTAATCCATGATCTTGCAGTCTCAGTGTCTGGGTCTAATTACTCAGAAATAAATGAACCTACAGCAACAATCAGTAAAACCACTTATCACATGTCATTGAGCCATGATTTGTGGTGTCCTACAGAGCTTGTAGGCCACCTAGAAAAAGCCAAACAATTGCGAACCTTTTTTTTCTGTGTATAAACAGTGGTATCAGTCTGGAACGAGTTGGGATGAGTCTACCTTCAGATCTTTTATTTCAAAATTTCCAAGTTTGCGTATACTTGCATTTTTGAACTCTGGGATGGAAGTTTTGTCAGACGACATTCAAGAACTAAAACATCTTCGCTATTTGGATATCTCATTAAACAATAAGATAACCCGGCTGCCACCTTCTATCACCATGCTACAGAACTTACAAGCTCTGTGGCTTTCTGAGTGTAGTAGTCTTCAAGAGTTGCCAAGAGATATCAACAAACTTGTGAATCTCTGGATTCTGGCATGCAGAGGCTGTTTCGCCTTGACACACATGCCGGTGGGGTTGGGTGAACTAACTCGTCTTGAAGTATTGGCATATTTTGTGGTGGGAAAGGAGGATAGTTTCACTTCTAAGCAGACAGTAGGTGGGTTGGATGAGCTACATAGGCTAGACAAATTAAGAGCCCGGCTCGAAATTGCGAATCTTGGAGCCCTTCAAAGCAGAGCGGGGGTATTGTCGCCGTCACCATTACTCGCATTTGAGCTTGGTGCGGCTGCTAATTTGATGGGGAAGCCCCATCTTGAAACTCTGATACTAGGGTGGGGTCTTGATAATGGTGAATGGGAAGAGATTGGGCGGGAAGAAGTTTTGACGGGATCAGAAGAAGATGCTGAATGGGATGAGAGCTTACTAGAAGGCCTCCAACCGAGCTCCTGTCTGAAATCGTTGGAGGTGATTCAGTACAAAGGAGGGAAATGTCCAAGTTGGATTTCTTGTCTCACTAACCTGGTCACTCTTTCATTGTATTGGTGCAAAGTGCGCCATGGTTTGCACCAGTTGCAAGAATTGCCGGTCCTTCGAAAGCTTACTATTGTGAGGCTCCTTGAACTAGAGTTCATGGATGAAGATGAAGATGAAGAGGAAGACGGTGAGAGATGCTGGGTGCTGGCCAAAGAAGGTACAAAACACAAGAAGACATCCAAGCCATTCTTCCCTTCCCTCCAGAAACTTGGATTGCATAATTGCCCCAAACTAAAGGGATGGCGCAGGAGGAAGCTGCCCCAATTTCCTAAACTTTCTAAACTGTCCTTAATGTTGTGCCCTCTGCTGACGATGATGCCATTATTTCCAACACTCGAAAAGGGTCTACAATTGGTTGGAACTAGCCTAGAACCGCTACTGTGCACAATGAACGTCCCATCGTCTTCGGTAGGAAACACAAGCTGTTCTTCTTCATTTTCAAGTGAAGTGGACTTGATGCAGTACCCTTTGTCCAAACTGAAGAAACTGCAAATCTATGGCGTCGATGACCCTCCAAGAGACTGGCTGCGAGGGATGCAACACCTCACTTCCCTGCAAGAGCTTAGAATTGGAATTTTTTCAGGGCTGGAGGAGACTTTGAATTGGTGCTACATCTCGCACGTTCCGGAAATCACACTTGATCGCATCTATATAAATAGAGACGGCCAGTTTCTCTGGGATGTGCTTGGTTGGGACAACTTCCATCTGATACTACAGGTTTGGAAACAACTTACTCTTTTCTTTTCCTTGTCCCCCTCCATCCTGTGTTATTTTCTCTCTCTATGCCAACTAATTTATCAGTCTATTTATAAGTTTTATCTGTTCCTTTTAGATTGTCAAAGAGCTTATGGCAAAGAACAACTTAGAAGGGGAGAATTCAAGAGGATGAGCGCACAAAAGGAAATGATCGGGTTGATCCCTCAAGACAATAGGTTTGGTACGACATAGAGCCTCAAAGTTAACGGGGGCACAATTGGGCTTTTAGTCTCATCTCTTGAATTGTCATTACTTGTTTTCATATTTGAGTTTACCTTTTAGTAATCCAATCATAATTTCTGGGGGTTAAAACTATAATTTCGACTTCAAGTTTGCCCCAGTTATCTTGAACTGGGATTTTGCATTTCTGGTGTGTATTTAAAGCTGCAATTTTTTCCTTTATCCATCCAAACTATTATGCATTATTCTACATGAACTTGCTTGTTGTTATGCTCTTTGATATGACTGCTGTAATTATGTGCAGAACGCAATGTAATTTTAGTATGTTATGTGACGGAGTTGTTGACTGATGCAGATTAGAACTGGAGGCTTGGTGATATGGAGCTCAAGGAGTTCAGTCGTATTGTATGGAGGAATGAGCTATCGATCCTGACGTGTAATATCTTACGTGAAAGACAAAGAGTCTATTACGGAAGCTTCTCCATCTAATGAAGCAGTGAAGATTGATGATGCTAGAGCTGACCAAGGAACCAAAGGACTTGTGAGAACCCCGGAGCCCACTGTAGAGAATTTGGCAAAGGGTTTCAAGGATTTCTCAAAGAACAAACTCATGGAACTCACTGAGTTGAACATTTGTTAGATGGATTAGGACCAAGGTTCAAGGACTGGTGTAGCAGTGAGCTATTGCATGTTGATGCTGAATGGCTTCCTGCTGTTGCCCAGGATACAAACCTCTGTTCAGGCTTCTTCTCATGGGGTGAAAGTTGAAGCATTGTTTTACGAGATGGGGAGACAACAAAATTCTCCAGGTTTGCAAGGACGCCTTCACATTTTGCTCTGGGTAATGTCATAGCACACGATGTTTTTTTTTTTTTTTTGTTTGCTATTTGCAGTCATATTAGCTTTAAATGCTTTTCCTTTCCTAAGTTTGATTTGTTCGATAGCAAGGAATAGAGACCCTGCATGGTCTGGCTAAGGCTATTGTGAAACCATGGGAACAAAGAGTCATGGCAAAGATAACTATCAACGTAGCGTGGAAAAATACCCAAAATGATAGGATGACTGACAAACTGAAGGTGAGAAACAATAGACAAGATCAAGGTCTCCCTTTTCACTAATGTTTCTTTCCCCCCTCTTTTTGATATTTGCATTTTGCTTTTCCTGCAGTGATTAACTCTCTAGAAACCAGGACATTATTGTATTTTACAGGGGTAATGACTTTTTGCTACCTGTGGTTATGGAGACACTGAAGGAGATTCAGGAACTAAGTTACCTCCAGCATGTTCAAGATGGGTCGGTCAGGCAAATGGCCTCCATCAAACATCGCAAGCAAAACATAATTGTGCATGTAATCTCATATAGGCAAATGGTGAACTGAAGAAGCCTTTGTATAAAGTACAGGAGCATCGGCAAGCAAAACAACTCCCAACTGATGTGGAAACAATATCGAATGTTCATAGATTCTTGTTTGGACAGATTGGCTTGAGAATGAAACCATGTCCCCCTCTAGGTAAAAGAACACCACCTGCTTTCGTCGATAAAGTAAGATGCTTTTAAGTGAAAAGATTGAAATGTTGACCGGGGATTTCTATTCCAGGAAGGCGAGAGGTTATGATTGTATCATAGAGAACAAGCACTTGCATTGGAAATACCACTAGCAAGTGAGATAATTTTGGCTGGCAAAAACTCTGCAAAATCAAACATATTGCAATTTCTTTGCAAGCTGCAAGTGGGGGAGTCCTAGTAGCTATGGGGAGAAATGCTAAGGCTGTGTGATTATAGCTTATCATGGGAAGAATTATAAATGCCGTCTTGGTGTGAAGCCTAAAAATTTGATGTCCAGGAGACAAGCACTGGCTAGGTCCGTTGAACTTCAGAGAGGAGAGGTACTCTTGCAGTATATTATTCTTTGTTTATTATGTTTCTTATGGTAATCTAGCATTTGGTTCTCTGAATTCAGTTTAAATATATTCCTTTCTATAGGCACTGAAGCACCATGCTATAGATTTGCAAGAGAGAACTGAACTGGTCAAGTCTGAATTGATATGGTATTTTCCCACAATTGGTTGGAGATATGCTGATATATGTACAAGCTGATTGACGTAAAAGCTAATATGCTGATTACCGTATTTGCAAGCTGATTTCCGTAGCTCATTTCAATAGGTTGCTGTGAGGCTCATGAGTTTGCATAAGGTGAAGACTTGGCATATTTGGTCTCTTCAGGTGGCCTCTCGCTCACCAGATAACTAGTAATTCCTTCACAATCCATTCAAAACTCAGGAAATGTAAATAGCCTATTAGCTTTTACATTCAATTCATCTTGTCTTTGTAGTTTTAGGCTAGCTTGACCCCGGGGTTCAGCTCCGACCTATATGTTTAACTTTATACATGCTTCGACTCTGGTGTGACTTGTGACTGAAAATCTTTCTGAGCATCTGTGGAAAAGAGATTTCTCTCTGAGAGAGTCCAGCTTCAACACAGGACTCCTCATAGAATCACCTAGCTCAAGCCTTTCGAAATAAACAACAAATATCATTCGACTCACTGTGAGGTGATCCAGTTTCCTTGTGTGATATAGCCCTGCTCCTTGATGTGCTGCACACCCTTTTAAGCTCCCGTAGTGAGCAACAGAACCTACTATCGTTCTAAATTCCATAGGCTGGATTTCTTGCTTAATGCTGATAAACAGTTTCCTGTAAAGAGCCGTCACTTATTCTGATGTTGCTCTATCTGCTGAAGTCTTAAGATATGCAGGTTTCCAAAACAGAGAGCTCCTCGTCTAAGATTTGCTTGTACAGCCAATATCCTAGTCAGAAAAATGAGTTCCCCACCTGTTGCTTGTTTCGTGATGTTCTTACTTCTTACCAAGACTTGTTTATCTTTGTATGCACTTCTCTACGCCTGGCACGGTTATCTGACTTATATTTAGGTAATTTCAGCTATAGTTCCAACTGACTTGTTGACTACGGTCTCATCTTTCAGGATGATGGAGAAGAGGACTATCCTTTATCATGTGCGGCCAGTGGCAGAGCATGTTGGTAGCAGAACAGGATTAAACTCGATACAACCAGGTGCTTGATTTTGGAGTTTCCTCGTTTCCATCTGTGCTTCCGAGTATGGCAGCCAAAGAAAACAACGTAAAGCACGACTACTTGGAGACTCGGAGTGGAGATCGTGGAGCCTGATATCGTGTGAATGCCTCATCTAGATCGACAGTGATAACGCCTCAACCATGTCGAGAGTGATTCGTGGCTGTACATAGAACAGAATGATTTTTACTATAAATTCTGTTTTAAGCTTGTTTGATGACTAGGCTTTAGAACAAATTGCAGATGTACAGAATGTTGTTGTGCTGCTGTGTGTCAACACTTGCAATTGGGTCCAACATTCATGCAGTACTCTTCATTCACTTAGACAGAACCCTTGGTTTTTGCTTTTGTTAGTAAATTGTATATGGTCCATAATTAAACATCGTGGTATCAGCGTCTTCTGCAAGCGAGAGGTATTTTGTTCGAATTCTCGTGACATCAACTTGCTAAGCACATGATACCTGTAGAACGTTAAATTCTGGTTTGTTGCTTGCTGCAGTAGTAGGAAAGCAAACCAATGCAATAACTGTTAATGAGAATGGGGACAGCCAGAGATACTACGTACTTGGCAGTAGGTAGAATCAACCCATTAATGATCGACGATGAAGTCAACCAGCTAGCTAGCTTGCTTCATTGTCTTGCAGCAGCAGCAGCAACAACGGTTTGAGTCGGGAAGATTGATTGACGTCTTCTTCTGTATCTAATGGAAGACTCCAGCTGGAGTCCAATCACAATCCAATCAGGTCAACTCTTTCTATACTCTCGATGCCAGCGGCAGCCAGACCGCGGGGCAACAGTCAGTCGGGGACGACGAAGGTGGGAACGGAAACGGTGACGTATCTTTGTCCGTTCTCGAAGGTTTTGGGGTTTCGTTTCAAGTCGGGTTAATGACACATTTGGTCACTGAGATTATTAAATTGTGTCATGTTTAGTCACTAGAAAAAATTAATATCAATTTTGGTCACTCGAATTACCGAAACTGGTCAAATTTAGTCACTCTCCCGTCAGTTTCCGTCCAACTCCATTAATGTAGTTGGACGGAAAATTTTGGGAGAGTGACTAAATGTGACATGTTTCAGTAATCCGAGTGACTAAATGTGACATTTTTCAATAATTCGAGTGATCGGAGATGGACAGAGGCTACAGAAGAGTGACCAAATGTGACCTGTGTCAGTAATTCGAGTGACCAAAATTGATATTAAATTTTTCTAGTGACTAAATATGACACGATTTAGTAATCTCAGTGACCAAATGTGTCATTTACCCGTTTCAAGTCTTTTCCACATCTAGAGGGAGAAAACTAGCGGTTCGTCAATGTGAACCGTACCCTCTGCTGATTTAATTAATTTGGTCTGTTTTTATTTACCTCTTTGATATAGCATGGATTGATAAGCGATATAAAACGTAAATCAAACGACAAATTTGTCAAGAACCAGTTGATTCCAATAACTCGAGTTGTTGAAAAATGTTCAATTGTGGATCATATACCGTTTATTAACACACCCCCTCAAACTCAAGCCACTCAGATAGGCTTGGAGTTTTGCACAGGCACATGTCCGAATACGATGTGCTTAACAGAAACAGATGAGGGTCATCGGGATTCGAACAGGAGACGGAGTCTGTTTTGCTCAATACACTGTCTCGGTTTTGCTTTTTTAGTTTCGTTTGCAGGTTACAGAGTGTGATATCATTCTGGATAGTCAGGGTGCTCGTCCGCGTCAAGGTAACCCAAGTCCCAGGCACGGAGTCTGTTCCTCGAGGTGAGTTAGTGAATTTTGCTGATGGAGCGACGTTTTGTGGCTCTCATGAGAAGGGAGGATGTGTTTTGCAGGACCAGACATGCATGGTGGTGGCGATGTCAGCACTCAGCAGCCTTGTATGAGGGGATGATTGAGCCATTTCTTCTAGAGCTTTTGGCCCTTCGAGACACAGTTCGGTGGTGCCTAGCCAGAGGGATACACTCAGTAGTTTTGTTGGTGATGCACAATTAGTGATACTAAGAATGGTTAGGGGGAGCTAGATTACGAATGTCCGTGGGGGTACGGTTTTGGAGGAGATTAATGATATGAGTTCTACTTTCCAGGAGCTTAAAGTTATTTTTGTTGGTCATAGATGTAACAGTGTGGCCAATATAGTGGCAAATGAAAACCCTTATGTTGTTCCCTTCGTTTGTTGGGTTTGATTTTGTTTCTTGGCTGTTTTCAGCACTTTAACTACTTGTATCTGACTGTTTTCTCAATAACACTACTGATATTTGAAAAATAAATATGGAATTATTGTGTGCTCTATTACACTAAAACCATATATTAAATCCCTAATATCATTTCCCCAAAATAAAATTTTACCTAAATTTAAGTTTGGCGAAAAGTTTGATGAAAAAAGTGGATACAAACATCACCGTTGTTACATCGAGCTCCCACAAACCCTCGCAACCTTCTCAAATTGTATTGCCAGTTTCAAACAGCTAGCCACCACAATTCCCTCATGGTACGTCGCCTTGTTGCCTTGTCGTCGGTCTGATCTCGCGGTGTCATCTTGAATCCTGATTAGGCTCATTTGGATGTATCAATTTATAAACGAGTCAATTTGGTCAATTGTTTCATTTTATAAAAATGTGTTAATTAAAACAAGTCAATTTGAATTACCTACCCCATCCCACAAACAATTGGAATTGACTTACGATGGATCAATTTGAAATCTTTTATGCCAGATTGATCCATCCAAATTTTTTGTTGCCAAACGAGTCAATTTGGTTCAATTGCCTCAAAACGAGACAATTGTATGGGGCAAATTGATCTATTACATTTTCTCATCTAAATGACCCTAGGTAATATTGACTCTCTTTAGAGAACTTTTGTCTACGCCACTGTCAGTACTCCATTTTATGTATATAGGTTTGGTATACTGATCAACTTAATTAATTCATTTATCCTAGTTAGCTATTTAGTTAGAGAGTGTTCAATCAATCACATGTGAAAAATCACGATTGACGTGGATGATTAAGAATTGATGAAACATAATTTGAGAAAGTATTAACATGTTCTATTGATTTACGAGATAATATCCACTTTGTTATATATTTGGGGGAAAAATCACACCTGTCGAATTGATACATCCAATTTTTCTGTTGCCAAACGGATTCAATTTAGCACAAATGTCTCAAGACTAGACAATTAGATCAAATTGATCTGTTAGAATTTTTCACCCAAACAACCTCATGTATCTTTCATTTTGACAATCATGTACTATATACGTTCACACCACTCTCCGCACATCCTCTTTCTCTTTTGACCACACTGCACACGCGACATTCATCCCCGCACCAAATAGTGCTATACCATTGTCATAACATGATCAAACAAATGCTCTCGGGGGGAACTCCCTTAATCCCACAAGAATTCAGAGCCGCAAGAACATATGTCATCCCGACGAATCAAACACAAGACTAGCTAGTTTCCGAGTTTGTGCATCCACTCTGTATAGTTAAGTTCTTTCTAATCTAAATTTTTTTTTACAATAAATGAAATTAAAATACTAATTAATAAGTCTAGTGATAATATGAGGATGATTGTAAAAGTTCACTGTCAACCCGAGTCAAACCTTTTTGTTCATTATTAGCTTGTATGTTGGCAAGGGAAGGTAGCTAAGCTAGCTGTAAAAAAATGTATGGAGATCGAAGAGGGGGAAGGAAAGGAAAGGGATGGTCTCCGTTTTGGTTGTTGACTATCTTCAAATCAAAGCCACTGATCAGAGAAAGGAAGAAGAAGGAAAAAAGGGGCCCCCAGTGGACTTTGACCATTACTTTTCTTCGAGTCCCCAATCCCATTTATTTACTTTGTTTTTTAATTTTTCATTTAGTTCTCTTTGGCTGCTCACACGTGGGAGCCAACACAGATTCCCATCTAGGTTTGTGCAGCAGGGAAGGCAACGAGTGGGATTGAGTCGGATTTTGTAACATGGGAATCTCACATCGACAAAGCACGTGAGAAATTCATGGTTCATAAATAAGAAACGATCTTAACTGATGAAACGCGTTTTGGAGTATAATGGAGGAGTTATTGTGAGAACTCCGAAGTTAAATGTGCTCGGTGTGGAGTACAACAAGGATGAGTGACCTTATGGGAAGTCACCTTGAATTGCACCCCAAGTCAAAAACCGTGAGGGTCGAGGACCAAAGCCGACAATATCTTCGTCGGGAAAAGGTTCGGGATATTACAGATCTCTTCACATTCAAATCCAGTTCTATAAAAAAAAATCAAATCCAGTTCAGTAGGTGTATTTATAAAATAAAATAAAATAATTGACAAATATTGAATGGATTTCGGAAGAGAAATTTCAATCTAACCCTACAGATATCAACAAATGCATGAGTACCTATGAGCGTAAGAAAACAACCGCACATTATTTCTCTGGATACCCACACCGTAATATTATAAAAAAAATTACAAATATATTTTCATAAAGACTAATAACATATATAAGTTGAGATAACAAAAAAATAACATATATAAGTTATCCATATTATTTGGATTACATTGGTATAAAGACTACCATTCATAAATTATCTATATTGTTAAGATTATACACAAAACAAAGTTGTTTTATTTTTTTGGGTGCGAACCGAGTTTGGTTTTGAAAGAAAAAAAGCTAAACACAAACCCATAAATCTGAATTCAATTGTCATCTCTCGTATACAATGTTACGGACCAGCCAAAATCATGAGAAACGCAATATAATAGTAAAAATATTAAAATAAAAAATCATATAATTATTGTATTCGGTCAGTTTCATCTAATCCAAATATCAATTCACTTTATTCTTTTTCGATATTCATAAAATTCATGAATTCAAAAATCATATTATTATGTGTTGGAAGATTAAAGAGCAAGTTGGAAGATTACCAATTTTCACCGAACCATCAATCAAGGGGGAGCGGATCAATTAAGAACAATCAAGCCGTGATTCAAGGAACAGCTGTTCAAACCTACTCCTTCTGATCGTTTTCAAATTGCAACGGCCTCTGCACTGCTTATAAGAAGGAACGCCAGAAGCAAGGCAGAGTACTGATCAGAACAGGGAATCTCTCGGTGGTATAGTGCTAAGGGATTGGGTTTTGGGGAATCAGTGGCTTTGAATCAAGCTGAGGAACAGGTTCAGCTTGATCAAAGAGTGTAAGGAATTCCTGCGTGAATTCTGGTCTGTGAGTCGTGACATTTTGATTTTCTCACAGAGTCTGTAACCTAGCTTTCGATTTTTCTTTTTCGCGTCAATAAAGAAAATCAAAGTGTCTCTCAGGATAGTGAAGTACTATCCTGGGACGAGGAGTAGCCCAGTGGCGAACCTCGTTAAAAATCCCCTGTGCACTTTAATTTCCGCTCTGCATTTTACTTCTGTCTTCCATACTCTGTTTTCTTGTGCTCTGCCTCG